AAGTATTTACCCATGGGTATGACTGGAACTAAGCAGATGGTGGGAATAGGGCAGGAGGTATACTTTTCACAGCATGCATTTTTCAAATGTTTTCAAATTTTTGAACCATGTATGCGTTTCATATATTCCATTTTAATTAGCTGTATGTAATACCACCCTACCACAAAGACTTGCCAAGCTCTGTGTGCCAGGCTCTAGAGGGGACACATACAAGACTTGGTCCAAACTTCTAGCATTTTAAAGGAAGAAATCCCATTTATATATATAATATCTGCATGCAAGCCTATTAAAATGAATTTTAATGTTGATGATGTTTATTCTTCAATTACAAAGAAAAAATGTTGCCTACTTAGGACTGAAATGTCACTGTGTGAAAATATGGGCTGAAGGCTGAAGGTATCTCCACAGTACAAAGAACAATTCACTTAAGAGCGTGAAATTCAAGCCTCATCCTATTGCCTAGGTAACATGGACTCCAAGCAGCTAGTGGAGAGTTGAGGGTAGAATAAACAAATGATTATAGCTATCAGTGGAAATGTACCTATTAACCTAGCAATGAATTTGTCAATAATTACCATCTATTTACTTCGTCCATGCTGGTGCTTAAGCTGTAAGACCTCAGGAAGAAGTCTGCCAGAAACAGATGGCATTTATATTAGGAAAGAGCAGAGCAAGAATCATACATGTACACAGAAGGCTGGTGGCACAGGAAGGAAGGTTCAGGTACAAAGACCTACAGACCCATGGGTCCTAGTTAAAGTCCATAAAATCAACAAAACCTTTGTGTTCAAATTCCATCAGATCCTCGGGGTGCTGAGGAGAACAGAAATTTTGAACAGAAGATGGTCCCAATATTTAGAACTTGATTCCACAAATACAAGAAGGTCCACTCAATCTGTCTAATTGTCCTTTTGGAAAGAAAAGCCTCTTTCCTCTCACATTTTAGGGCATTCAGTAAAAATCTATGTGTGACTACCATGTAGCAGGCCCTGTTCTACACTTTGATAGCCTTGGATAGTTATTTGACTATCCACCTGTGTCCTGGTCCCCCACGCCTCTTTCCCGAGTCAGTCGTTAGAGGTGAGGGAAAGAAGCTCAGTGGGATTTGGTGTCTGATGGGTCAGAGCAAACATAGCCACGTGATCAGTAGAATGGATTTTCCTATTCAGCCTAACAGCTACCTAACCAAATAGCTGCTATCTGATTTAAATTGAAGCCCAGAAAATAAGTACCTTCGTATTTTAATGGTACAGGATTTTAGAGCTATAAGAGATCTCAGAGGTAATCTAGCCCAGCCCATTATTTAATGATTATTTTGCTTGTAAGCTAATATTGCATCATGCATAACAGTTCTTAAGCCAGTTACAGAAAATTCAGGTAGGCAGAACTGTCAATGCAAATCCAGTCTACAGGCTAGTTCACGTATTTTAGCATCAACCCATGCAGTTTTAAGGTTGATATTGTGAATTTAAAAAATGTCTGGTATGATATGAAGATTATCTGTATCTCTATGGGTGGGCACTGGAAGTTTCTCTATATCTATGTACTCTGCTTAAAATATCTCTAGGGTTAAATAAATATCTTCTAAATATCCCTAGTTTATATTTGGAAGTAAATATAGAGTTCATATTTTACTGACTCATTTAGGGATAAATACTTATTAAAATATGTATACTATATATTAATATATAATAAATTTATATATTACATAAGTCACAACTGTATCATATTTATTACTATAGATCTTATTTAGGGATTATGATAAAACTATTATAATTTTATTATTAAACTTATTGAATTATAATACTATATTATACTCTATTAGATTTCTTTTGTTGTTTGCATAGTGGATGACCACATCTCTAATAGGGATCCAGAGTAATCTGAGGCAAAAACAGATTTAAATCTAGTTATCACAAGATGGTTTAAGGAGAAACAGGTCCAGCTCTGGAATCAGAGTACCTGAATTCAAAGCCTAGCTCTGACTCTGAAGAGTAAATAATTTGCCCAGGGTCACAGGGCTCCTTATCTGTGAAATGGAGAGACTTGTAGTACTTAGTCATAGGATTGTCATAAAGATTAAATGAAGTATTGTTAGGCACCAGCGGTACAGTAAGTAAAGGCACGTACAGGATATTTAATAAACTTGGATTTTTTTTTTAATGTAAAAGCTCATACACACAGACTTGGGATTGTATATAGGATTTAAAGAAGTTCTGAGCTGCAGAAACAGGAATGAATTATTTATTGAGCCTCCAAGATCATGGAGTTGAAATGCTGATGAACATACAATAGTATCCAATTACAAGAGAGTATTGTGATTGGGGATCAGAAGCAAAATACACCTGTTGACTGATTTGATATGTGCATTGAGCAATTTATGCAGCGTATTAATTTTCTACACTCTAAACCTGGTTGTCAGGCATTTTAACATTTCTTTCAGAACAACATCCGGGAAAACTTAGAACAATGAGGAAAGCAAGAATAAAAAATGAAAGGGTGTGACTTATGTTGATGGCTATTAATACTGGTGACAAATTGTTTTTAAAACAAGGTTATTCATTATTTTTTGAAAGGATTAAAAACCTAGTCCACCTATTAGGTACTTTTGTCCTTCCCTAAGAGTAACATTCCCCAGAGTCATGTTTTTATCAGTTAAAAAAATTCTATAATGAGGGGTGTCTGGGTGGTTCAGTTGGTTGAACTCCTACCTCTTGATTTCAGCTCAAGTCATGATCTCAAGGTCCTGGGATCAAGCCCTGCCTCCACGCTCAGCATGGAGTCTGCTTATCCCTCTCTCTCTCTGCTCCTTCACCCGCTCTCACGCACACGCTCACCCGTGCTCTCTCTCCCTCCAAAAAATAAATAAAATCTTCAAAAAATAAAAAAATCTATAATGATTTAGTGCTCTGCTTTTTTAAAAAAAGATTTATTTATGGATTTTTAAAAGATTTATTTATTTATTTTTAGAGAGAGAGAGAATGAGTAAGTGGGAGGAGGGGCAGAGGGAGAGGGAGAGAGAATCCTGAAGCAGACTCCCCACTGAGTGCAGAGGCCCACACTGGTGATCCCAGGACCCTGAGATCATGACCTGAGCAGAAATCAAGAGTCTGTGGCTTAACTAACTGAGCCACCCAGGCACCCCCATTTATTTATTTATTTGAGCGAGAGAGAGAAAGAGAGGGCACAAGACAGTGCACGCATGGGGGCAGGAGCAGAGGGTGAGCCTCTTCAAGCACACTCCTGCTGAGTGTGGAGCCTGAGGCCGGGCTCAAGATGGGGCTCCATCTCACAACCCATGAGATCACGACCGTGAGATCACAACCTGAGCCAAAACCAAAAGCCAGAGGCTTCACCCACTGAGCCATCCAAGCGCCCCTAGTGCTCTGCTTCTTAAATCAGTATGCAAATCCTAGGATATCTGGGGTCACAGAAGGGGATAAGAGAAACCAAAATATGGTGTATCTTCCTGAAGCATCAACTTTCCTCAGCTTTTCATATTGAAAGCAACAAGAATTTATCATGGAACAGAATGCAAAATCTACCTGATTTCATAAAATGAAACATCAAAGAAATTGCTCCTTGTACTAGCCTCTTTAAAAATTTTTTAAATTTATTATTATTATTATTATTTTGCACTGGCTTCTTGAGAGCATGTTTGGGGTACAGAGGCTTTTGTTTCTTTAGGAGAAAGGTTAGCAAGTATTGCACATTAGGAATGGATTTTTCCATCACTTCATTGTTTTCAGTGACAAAGGGTTTGGAATCACTTTTATATATGGTTTTAATGACTTTGCCTATTTCCAAACTTTTTACTTCTTTCTGTTATCTACTGAAATTAGAAATAAATTTATCATACACCACGAAAATGACTGCAACACAACATACCTCTGACTAGAACACAGTGTGTGAACTTTGAAACAGCATTCACGATAACCCTGTGCTCTCTACTACAAAATCAGAGAGGAAGACGTTTCTGTTATTGGAATAACACAGGTACTAAAAGAAGACCTCTGAAAAGGAATTAACTGCAAAATAAAATTTCCCCTAGAGTTAGTCTTGAATATGATGCAAACTAACTTGAAGAAATTTGCTTAACCTTTGAAACTTGGTCTAAAATGTTAGCCATTCGAAATCTAAGAAGTGCACATAAAACCCAGTCATTCTCCAGTTCATTAATCTGCTCTCTTTTTCACAGCACTTCTTACTGTCAGAAACTTATCTTAATCATTTGAAGTGTTTATTACCTATCTCTTCGATCCCTAACCCCCAAAAGTAGGGTCAATTGTATCTCCAGCATTTAGCCATGCACCTGGCTATCACATAATAGACGTTCAAAATATACTTGTTATGACCAGTTTTTATCGCACGGATATTTGTCAAGAAAAACCGAAGCCAAGGATAGGGGAAAGTGTATCTGACCTCTTCAAAAGTGCAGGAACCTACTTGATGGAATGAATGTCCACCTGTACTCTGCGCATCCATTACCATCTCTGATGCTGAAATGCGGAAGAGAGGGCAAGCTCTCGATAGAAAAACAGGTACCACGTCTCTCCTTACGACCAGAAACCAATGGTTCCCAGGGAATTTGCAGCTTTATATAATCTGAAAGTTCGTACTTTGAGGAGATGAAAGAGCACCTCTTGTAAGGGCAGGAAAATACTTATCTGTTTAAGGGAACCCGCGGCCAACCGCGGTAGGGATTTAACCCCACCTCCCCGATCGCCCGGCGAGTAGGGTAACCCCGGTCCCGGCCCTTGGCCTCCCGCGTCGGGCAGCGTGTGCGGCGGGGCGCACCGGGACCTCCGCACCGCGGCTGCAGCTGCGCTCCGGGTTTCCGGAGGGAGTCGCGCTGCGCTCAGGGTGCACTCCCGTCCTCAGCGAGCAGCCCGCCCCCTGCCGGGCGGGGCGGACACAAGTCGCACCTTTCGGACCCTCGGGGAGCAAGACGACCCGAATCCCGAGGCCCGGGCAGGGTTGGGGCCGGGTCCCCTGCTCACCGCTGCGGAGCTTGCTGCTGTCGCCGGCCTTGTTGAGGGCGCTGCTGGAGCAGCCCATCGCGGGCAGAAAGGCGGTCTTGTGGACCAGCGCAGCCACCTGTCCCAACCCGGCGCGGGCGTCGGCCCGGAGCTCCGATCCCGCGCAAACCGCCCCGGCGCCGCCGCCGCTCCTCCAACTCTGCCGGCCCGGCTCCCGCGGGTGCGGAGCGCAAGCGCACAGCGGAGCTCCGCGGAGGCGGTGCGCACCTGGGGAAGGAAGGCTGCAGTGCAGAGGTGGAAGGGGCCGGGAGGGTAAGAGAGGGACCTCGCCAGAGCGAGGAAGCAGGAGAGGACAGGGAGCCAGGTGGGCAGAAGGTGGGGAGTGCAGTCAAGGAGGAGAGGGAAAAGGCTTCAGTAGTAGGGATAGGGACGCTATCCCGGAGAGGGCGAAGGGCTGGGAGGGCTCATCCGAATCATCACTAAATAGCTGGGGAGGGGAGGAGGCGATTGTGGCCAGTGGCTATTGATTGGTAGACTAGCTTTGGATGGCAGTCTTATTCTTACATAACGTCAGTACTGTTACCATGAGGAAGTTTGCTGTTGATATACTATTTAATCCACCTCGTATTCAAGTTTGGTCAATTCTCCAATCCAGGACCACACATTACATTTAATTGTTGTGCCTCTCTTTAGTTTGCTTTAATCTGAAGTAGATCCCCAAGTCTTTGTCTTTCATGACCTTGACCTTTTTTTAAGAGAATAGCCCATTTATTTTGTAGAATATTTCTCAATTTGGGTTTGTCTGGTTTTTCCTTATGATTGTTTTCAGGCAATGCAGTTTTGGCTGGAATACAAGATGTTATGTTGTCTGTGAATTCCCATCAAGGCATATGATTTCAGTTTCTCTATTATTGGTGATGTTAACTTTGATCAGTTAGTTAAGGTAGTGTCTGCCAAGTTTGCCACCAAAAAGTTACTATTTTACTCCTTGTAATTTATGGTGAGAGACTTTGAGACTAACATCCTATATCTCATCAAACTTTTATCTGCTGTTAGCCTACATTAATATTCTTGCTGGGATCAATCATTACTATGATGGTTATCAAATAGTGGTTTTCTAATTACATTATTCCTTCTACATTTATTAGTTGGCATTCTACAGTAAGGGAGCACTTTCCCTTTTCCTCCATTTATTATTCATTTATTTACAGCAGTAAATACTCATGAATTCTTACATTATTCAATGGGTCATGTTACTATTTGTGTTAGTTTTTTAGAGCTGCGATAACAAAGTACCACAGATGGGTTGACTTAAACAACAAAAACTTATTTCCTCACAGTTCTGAGACTAGAAGTCAGAGAACAAGATGTCAGTAGGGTTGGTTTCTTTTGAAGGCCTTTCCTTGGTTGGGATGGCAGTGTTCACCATATATCTTCACATGGTCTTCCCACAGTATAAGTATCTATGTCCTAATCTCCTCTTCTTACAAGGACACCAGTCATATTGGATTAGGGCCCACTCATTTTACCTTAATTACCTCTTTAAAGGCCCTGTCTCCAAAACAGCCGTATTACAAACTATAGCGGTTTAGGACTTCAACATATGAATGAGGGGGGCACAATTCAGATCCTAACACATGATTATTAATTTGGATGCTCAAATTGTCTAAAATTTGACATATTTCCCTCTACGGGTCATGGGGGTACACAGCTATGGTCTTTACGGTGTGTTTAGAGGTCTCCCTCCCTCCCTTCTCTACCTCACTTCTCCTCCCCTTCCTATCCCTTCTCGTCTCTTTTTCCCCTCTTCCTCTCCCTCCTGCAGTGTAGGCCTGACAAAGCCTGGGGTGCCCAGCAATCAATTCACAAATCCCTTTGAATGAAGAGGAGACTGGGTATCTTTGAGGAAGTACACTTTATAACATTACAAATACGTACTATAACTCTCCTCCTAACCTTCTAATCAGGGTTACTGTGCTCCAAGGAAAGAGAAGTACTTTGAAAGTGGCTAAGGATTTGGCTGGATTCCAAGTCCCTGAGCAAAATTACAGGATTAGCGCAAGGAAGTTTAGGGGGAGAGGTACATGGATGGACCTTTCAGAATAGGCCACAATTTGGGGAATATTTATGTCTTATATAAATGCTATCAAAAGGCCTTCATAGGTTGGGCTGCTGTAACAAAAATGCCATTAACTGGGTGGCTTAAATAACATATTTATTTCTCACAGTTCTGGAGCCTGGGAAGTCTAAGATCAAGGTACTGGCCAATTTGGTTTCTGGTGAGAACTCTTTCTGGCTTGCAGATGGCAGCCTTCTCACTGTGTCCTCACATGGGGTGGGGGTCGGGGGACTTCCTCTTCTTCTTCTTTTTTTTTTAAGATATATTTATTTATGTTAGAGACACAGAGGGCAAGAGAGAGCGAGTCGGGGAGGGGCAGGGGGAGAAAATCTTCAAGCAGACTCTGCCGCTGAGTGTGGGGCTCGATGCGGGGCTTGATCCCATGACCTATGAGAGAGATCATGATCTGAGCTGCAACCAAGAGTCAGATGCTCAACCAACGGAGCCACCCAGGCACCCCTGAGACTTCCTCTTCTTAGAAGGCCACAGTCCTAACAGATTAGGGCCTCACCCTTATGACCTCATTTAACCCTAACTACCTCCTCAACCCTACCTCCCCACTGAATCACATTGGGGTAAGGGCTTCAACATATGAGTGGGGGAGGGAGGGGCCACAAGTCAGTCCACAGCAGGCTCCCACTTCAGAAGATGCTCTTTTTTTAAAGTCACATTTAATTTGATTTAGCTAGTGAAAGTTTTTCAAAATTCCATTCTTCCTCAAAAGAGATGCAATAACTCACAGATTAGTTAAATATAAACACTAACTTGAAATTCTCTGAATCCTAATGCTTTCATGCTAAACCAGGGCTTACTGGGCCCTTAGTTAAGTACCCACTTTTCCCCATCAACTATTTTTTAGGAGTTGACTGGGGTATCTTACTTTTCCTTGGAGATAATTTGTCAGCCCAGCCATGGTCTCTTCCATTTTCTTCAGAGGAAGTATTTTATAATCAGGTGAACAATAATAATCCGTTGTCCTGTGGATGTTAGTCTTTTACATGAGCCACCTCAGTGCTTGCTCAACGGGCTCAGGAATAGGATGGCTCTAAGAACAGAGAAAGCAGACATACGTGAGCTCAACTGCATGTTCCTCCACTTAACATGGTTTACCTGGCTGAGGGCCCAGTTTGCCGGTAGCACTAAAGAGTGACCAACTACAAGCCTCCGAAATGGTACCTATACCTTAAGGGGCCTATCAGCCACTTTGTGAATGAGTGATAAGACCTCTTTGGAAACAGAAAGAGTGATTGAACCTCTTTGGTATTTTTTATTTTAATAGACATTGGATTAGATTTGATTTTCCTGCATATCAGGATAGTATCTTCAAGACATTACACACCAAGATGCTACATTCAGTATTGTATCTTACCAAATAACTCACTTTACTATGAGACAAGTAAAGTAATAGGTGAATTTCTATGTGATCTACCGGTCTTTTCATCTACCTCCACATCCAGAAGAAGCTAAACCTATAGGATGATGGAGGGGCACATTAAACACTCAGTTATGGCACCAGCCAAGAGAAAACATCTTTGAAGGTGAGGGTGCTGCCCTATGGTTTGCAGAGTATGTTTTGAACCAGTGACTAATAAATGGGACTGCTTCTTCCATGACCATATACACAGATCTGTGCTCTCCAGGCTTCTTGTTCATTTGGTGAACTACAAGATAATTTTCCTTTTATGCTTAACTGAGCTAGTTTGTTTGTTGCTTACAACTTAATTATCTAGACTAATATACAATATTTACCCTACTTCCCCTCTCCCTGATCACTCTCCTTCTTAGCAATTACCTGTCCTGTCTTATTCCTTCAGTCTTATCTTGATAATACCTGGATATAACTGATACTGTCATTTTAAATGCTGATAGTACCTTGATGTGTTATATTTTGAAGGCATAGTCATAAATCTTTTCACCTTCTTTATCATTTTTCTTCAACATACTCGTTTTGATGTTGTCCCAAATTTGCATTTATTTCTCCATTAACTAATCAGTAACATTTTCTTTTTTTTCTTTTTTTTAAAGATTTTATTTATTTATTTGAGAGAGAGAGAAAGCATGAGGTGGGGAGGGTCAGAGGGAGAAGCAGACTCCTCGCTGAGCAAGGAGCCCGATGCGGGACTTGATCCCGGGACTCCAGGATCATGACCTGAGCCGAAGGCAGTCGCTTAACCAACTGAGCCACCCTGGCGCCCAGTAACATTTTCTGATCAGCATGACATACAATGTTACATTATTAAGTTCCAGTTAAAAGCAAAAAAATTGGTATTTTAGCCTGTGTATCACACCTTTATTAAGGATAAAAGTACATGTACATGGCAGGCTTTTCAAATTATTGAAAATAATATGTAAAATGTCATATTATAGACACTTAGAAACATAGGAATCCCATTTATACTAAAATTTTAAAAACTGACTCTAAGAAATACAAAATAACCCAAAGACAAACATTTATAGACATCACTCTACGTTCCAAGTGTCACTCCTTCACATTAAAATAGTGAATGAAGTACTCTGGGTTCTTTGTATCCAAGAGTATTTAAAAAACATACGCTCCTTGGATGGAAAAATGGTTTTTAAAAAAAAGGAGAAAGCATTTCTCTGGCCTATTTTTAATCCAGTGCGGTCTGGAGCATTCCCAGTCTGAAAAGAGAGGGGCATAGGAGAAATATTTTGGATTCCTTATTATTGTCCTCTAACGGTTCAGAATTCTTGTATCTGTGTATGTGTGTTTAGTTAGTTGAAAGGTGACCAACATTCATTAGGTTTACAGGATATTTTCACTTAGATTCACTGTCCCTTCCTCTCTTCACCAGATTTCTGAGCATGTATTATGTCCACGGTGACTTAAGAATGTGAAGGTTGAGTTAAACAAATAGACTTCTAAATTACAGTTGACCCTTGAACAACACTGATTTGAACTGGGAGGGTCCACTTATACACGGATTTTTTTTCCGGTACAGTACAGTAATGTACTTTCTCTTATGATTTTCTTAGTAACATTTTCTTTTGTCTTGTTTGCTTTATCACAGAGTATATAATACATAGAACATAAAAAATGTGGGGCGCCTGGGTGGCTCAGTTGGTTAAGCGACTGCCTTCGGCTCAGGTCATGATCCTGGAGTCCCTGGATCGAGTCCCGCATCGGGCTCCCTGCTCAGCAGGGAGCCTGCTTCTCCCTCTGACCCTCCCCCCTCTCATGTGCTGTCTCTCTCATTCTCTCTGTCTCAAATAAATAAATAAAATCTTAAAAAAAAAAAAATGTGTTGGGATGCCTGGTGGCTCAGTCGGTTAAGCGTCTGCCTTCAGCTCAGGTCATGATCCCGGAGTCCTGGGATCGAGTCCTGCACCGAGGCTGCTTCTCTGTCTGCCTGTCACTCCCCCTGCTTGTGCTCTCTCTCTCTCTGACAAATAAATAAAATCTTTAAAAAATAAAATGTATTAATCGACTGTTTATGTTATCGATAAGGATTTTCTGGTCAGCAGTAAGCTATTAGTAGTTAAGTCTTTGAGGAGTCAAAAGTTATACATGGATTTTCGAAATGCATGGGAGGTCAGTGCCTCTAGCCTCTGAGTTGTTCAAGGGTCACCTGTACTAATGGGCTGCTTCCTAATCTGGACACTGAATAACTAATAGCTGATGATAATGAATATGATAGTTTTAACTGCTTAACAATAAGGGATGGGCCAGTGTACTGAACCAATGAATATCAGATGAACTTGTTAGTATTTGCTCTAACAGGGAATGCAGCCTGTCACTTTTAATTCCCATAGCAAGTATAAACCAAAAGCACAATGAATGCAGGTGCCTGCAGAGTTCTCAGAAACTTGGAGCAGCAATTTTGGTGAATGAAAACCAAAGCCTTGTGTTAATTCTGTTCTATCACATTTACCTGTTGATATTTTTTCAAAACCACTCTGAAATGCTACCGACTGATACCCAGAAAAAACAAAATAATATCTAGATGGCAAAATCCCTTCTTAAAGCATATGTATTTCCCAACTTTTTATTATGAAGATTTTGAAACTCAAAAAAGTTTAATACTACAACCACCACCTATATACCCTCCACTTTAAATTCAACAGTTGTTAACACTTGGCTGCATTTGCTCTACCTACCTTCATTTATTTTAGATTTTTACATTTATTTTAGCGATTCAAAAACAAGTTGCAGATAATCATGACACTTCATCCATATATACTTCAACATACATCTCTTTGGAAGAAGGACATGACTTAAAGCAGTTATTTTTAATAATAGTAAGAGTAATCTTTTAACACAGGGGTCAGCAAACTTTGGCCTGCAGGCCAAATCTGGCCGGCCGCTTGATTCTGTAAATGTTTTATTGGAGCACAGCTGTTATCTATTGCCTGTGGCTGCTTTTGTGCTATGACAGAGCTGCGTCGTTGCCACAGAGAACATATGGCCCCAAAGGCCTAAAGTATTTATTCTTCGCCTTTATAGAAAAAGTATGCCAATTCCTGCTCTGATAAATACAAGTGTGGAAAATTTTATAAAATCTTCTTGAGTCAAAAGATATGACTGTCATTTTTGTATGGTGTTTCTTCCCCTAGTGTATAGGTTTTGTGATGTTGTGAAAGACTTTAGGTGTGGGCAGGTGGCTGTGGTAGGAAGATTGAAGAGATGGGAGTTGGACTGATGAAAAGAATTAATATTCACTGCACATTTGTTCTGTACAAGGCCCAATGCTAGGTGATTTTTACACCATTACGTTTACTGGGATCCTCACAACAATACTACGAGGTAAACATATTATTCTAGTTTTCTGATGAAGAAACTGAGGCTTAGGGAGTTTAGACAATTTGCCCCAAGTCAAGCAGATATTAAATAGAAAAACCAAGAACCTAAGTCTGTCTCCAAAGAGATACGGCAAAATCAGTTAAGATTCCCTAAGAATTCTCAAACATTTTGTGGTCACGTTTCATACATAAAATAAGTGCTTTGAGCTTCTCTGGCTTCCAGTACAAAACCATATTAAGATCATTGCGATCTTTAAAGCATAGCGAGGACATATATAGTAAGAACCAGAAACTTGTTATCGTATAGCGAAAAGCACCCCAGCAAAGTCTTATCAAGTACTTTAATCACTTAATCTCTAAAATGGGGATAATATCTATCCTGATCACTTTGGGAGAAAGTATTAAAAAGCTTTGAAAATATACGGCTCAATATATAAGTATAAGGCTTCACTATTTAGTTTTTGTTTTTACCTAAGCACGCATGCCTCAAACCCAACTTGGCTATCTCATTCTTCAGTTTTTTGTGTTTATTTGAAAGTAACCTTTGCCCCCAGCATGGGGCTCAAACTCAGGACCCCAAGATCAAGAGTTGCATGCTGTACCAACTGAGCCAGCCAGGTGCCCCTCATTCTTTAGTTCATTACTTCTCAAATTCTAGTATTCGTAAGAATCCCCGAAGCTGCATATTAAACTGAGATTCCTATGCCCCACCAGAGATTTCTTCTACATACCTGGGTGGGGTCCAAGAGTCAGAATTCAAGGTGATTCTCAATCAGGTGATCTGGGAGCCATGCTTTCAGAAATACTGCTTTCAGATACAACTGGTGTTTCACAAGACCTATTTAAAATCACCACTTTATTATTAAAAAGGAACTTTACATAACAATGCATGCTGTAAAATAATTCAAGTAGTACTGAAATATAGAAGGTAAAAAATGTCTTCTCATCATCCACTCTCCTCATACTTATCCAGTGGTAAGTTTTGATGATTAGCTTTCCAGACTTGAATTTTCTATGCATATACAAACACACACATTAAGAATGATGAGCATTTGATGTTTCTAATTTCTTTTGCTATTAAAATTAATGCTGAAATAAATATCCTCGTTCACATGACTTTGAGAAACTGTGACTGTTTCTGTAGGATATATTCCTAAAAGTTGACATACGATGACTGCTTACCTACTGGTCCGATTTTACACTCTTTGGGTACTAGTGGGAGACGCTCTGTGCTCGCTATTTTTAATGATCCGTCATTGGACATTTATATCAAGGCCCAACGTTCACAACAAAAAGATTTGTCAAAGAGATCTGTTTATTGCTCTGTGAAGATTCGGTTTACAAGGTTACGCTAACATCGCCACTAAAAAGGTGAGTTTGGGGAAGTCAGCGCGGGGCGCCACCGTTCTCCGAAAGAGGCCGGCAACTTGGGCGAGGGCAGCACAGGGCGCACAGTTGCTTCGGCCCGCGTGCAAGTGACGCGGGAGGGTAGACCCAGGAGCTGAGGCGCACCGGAGTCCCCTCCAAGAGCCGCGGCTTTGGGACAGATGAGCTCCGCCGCACAAAGACCGTGGTCCGCCGCCCCTTCTCACCGTCCCTCCCGCCTCACTCTCAGTCGGCTTCTCCAACTCCCGCCCGGTTCAACGTTCCCCGGTTCCTGAGTTCGCAGCTGGGAGCAACAGACTAACACAACTTTAAGGCCCGCAGCAAAGAGTAAGAGTACGGGTCTGTCGCCATTCTAACCAACCATACAAGCAGCCTCAGCCAACGGCCCTCCTCTCCTTGCCCCGCCCCTTCCGCTTGAGGCTTACTTCCGGTTCCGGCGTCCAGGCTTCGCGGTGAAGAGCTTTGTATTGTGGGAACTCTTTCCTTTTCCTTTCCCGGCCATTTTGGCGGCTGGTTTTGGTGAGTGGGCACCGCGTGGCCGACGTTTAGGCAGCGCGGGGATCCCAGCGCGTTGCCGTTTGGAGCTGCGATCCTAAACTTCCTGTCCTCTGTATGTTCTAGGTTGGGGCCGTCCCGCATCTAAGACAGGAAGATGGTGGCCGCAAAGAAGACGGTGAGTGAAACGCGCCAGGGCCGGAAGCCGATTCACGTGGAGGAATGAGTCTTGGCCCGGGCGGGCAGATCTGAGCACACTGGGGAGACAGCAAGCCCACTGGCATGGAGGGGCCCGAGAGGAAACCGAGTGGTCCTCTCAGTGACTTAGGATCCTAGACTTGGGAGGTTTATTAAAGGGCTCGTCTTCCAGAAAGCTGGATGCTGTTTTGAGATGGTTAAAAAAAAAAAAGGCCTTAAGATCCGTGTTAAATGTTTGCTTTGTAGAAAAAGTCGCTGGAGTCGATCAACTCTAGGCTCCAGCTTGTTATGAAAAGTGGAAAGTACGTGCTGGGGTACAAGCAGACTCTGAAAATGATCAGACATGGCAAAGCGAAACTGGTCATCCTCGCCAACAACTGCCCAGCCTTGAGGTAATCGAAGGAACCTTGAGGGTGTGTGTGTCGCCCACTGTATATTGATCGGAGTGAATACCCAGGAGTGTTACCATGGGCAATCTGGGTAGTACGAACTCGGTTTTATGTAAAATTTGTTTTACAAGCGAGCACTTGCAGAAGAATTTACGGTTTCTTTCGTGGTGTTTGGGGCTGACAGCCCCGGCCCTCCATCATGTTCTCTCATTGTGTAAGCTCATCTTTGGGAAAAATGTGTGGCAGAGGGGTAAAAACCACAGAACATCAAAGTTGGAGGGAAGCACAGACACATACTTGTTTCACCATGTGTTTTGTGTCCTGCCTTTTTGGTCATTTCTTTAAAATACTTCATTTTTCGAATTCGTTTTAGTGTAGAAAAGCTAAGATAAAAGTTCAGGCTGGCCGTGGAGCTGCAGGTTCCTAATTCCCCAAGTTTTTGCTTGACCTCACTGTTTTGAAATTGAACTTAGTATGGAAAATAAGGTAAAGAAACTTGGACTGTGCAGAATATAAGCGGTGTGATCAGTTCCCTCCAGCACATTGATTTTTCTGTGGTAATGCATAACCTCACAGGATTTTATATAGGGTGTCTGTACATAATTGGCTTTCCTGGAGTGCTCTGTCCTCCATCCCATCCCATGGGTTGGTCTTCACGCTTATCTTCTGTGGCAGTGCTTCTCAAACGTGAATGTGCACAGTTACTGCTAATCTTGTTAAATTTGGGTTCTGATTTCATGGGTTTGGGTTGGGACTTGACATGCATTTTTAACAAGCACTCACATTACTGCTGGTCTGTGGATCCATACTTTGAGTAGTGGTACTGATCTGTTAGGACTCCCTTCAGAAGGATTTGTAAAACCCTGAATGTCCACCTACTCAGTTGACACAGAAATGTTAGCTTTGTGTAAGTAATATTCCTCATCTAGGATTCAGAGCACCAGACAAAGAAATAGCTTATCTTTTAAAGATAACATGGGTTTGGATTCTGGAACCTCCACTTACTATTCTGTGTCTGAATGTCTTCGTTAGTTTAAAAAAAAAAAAGGAATATATACTACTTAAGAGGTTGTGGAATTAGATAATGTAAAGTGTCTGGTGACTAGTAATTGCTAAGTAAATACTTTTATTTCACATCCTACTCTCTTTTTCATGAGCATAGTTATAGTCTTAAACATAGAAGATACTTGCTGATTGTCCCATTTCATATAAGGGATCAAAGGGAAGGATGGTTTGTATTGGCTAATGGATGTGGTACTTTTTTTAAAGAGTAACAACTGGTTTAGTTACTGTTGGAAAGCCTTACCAACATTAAAACTAATGACGAAAGTAGTAACATTTTATCTGTCAGTCACTTTTTATGGTATTTATTTATTTGTCTTTTGGTTTCTGAAGGAAATCTGAAATAGAATACTATGCCATGTTGGCCAAAACTGGTGTCCATCACTACAGTGGCAATAATATTGAATTGGGCACAGCATGTGGGAA